AATTTTGATAAATCAATGAATTCAATACTGAACACTAATGAGAGAATATACAATCATAATGAATACAGAAATGAATGAAGTAAGATAAACTATGATTAATGAGTTAATGAAATGAAACTGTCATGATCTATTCATCATCATTATCCTCATCTTCATTCATGATTATGATATGTGTCCTTAAAATTAAATACAAACAAATAAATAATTCTTCAGGTCATTGTATATGAAAGAAATTTTATGAATTGAATGTTTGTTTGTTTTTTCCCTAAACAACATATACATGTGTACTTTAATCTATTTGGAATGATTTAAATGATTTATTCTGGTTAGCGTTTTTATTTATTTATAGCAAGGTTGTTTTCTACAGTATAAGGTTGTTGACCTCATACACAACCTTACTCCTTTACCCGAGCTTGGAACCCAACAATAAATCTAGAAGAGATATAGATCGTGCAATAATCTACTGTATGAGATAGCAAACCAATTTCCAGTTGAAGAGGAAATTAGGAGAAAGCATTGGAGATGGATAGAAATTACATTGTAGAAATCATTAAACTAAATCAATCAGGCAAGTATTAACTTGGAATGCTGAAGGAAAACAGAAAAGAGAAAGACCAAAGAAGACAATGAGTCGGGAATTACAAGCAGGTATAAATAATAGCAACTGAAAATAACTAGAAAGTATTGTTCAGGAATGGGTTCGATGGAGAATGCTGGTGGGTGGCCTAATTAAGTAAATGATCATTTACTAGTGATTTGGGAAAATTTTTCAAAGTTATAACATAAACAGAAGATAGGTGCTTTGCTGGCATAATGAGACTATAACTTACTGAAGATTTTGGTTAGTAATCAAACTACATCATGAATCGAATCAGTTAGTAGTTGTAGGTCAAATTAATCTTATTGTCTATTATCGAATACGGTCATGAGATTGAGCCATTGTATGGTTTTGAATATGTTACCACTCGTCTCTAGATACCTGAATAGGAGTATTGTACTTATAATCTATATACGAGTCAACGCCATAAGTAAATCCAGTACAACGCTTTAACCAAACTTGTACTATCCCCATACCCAATCAATGACGAGATCTCACAACGTAAACAATTACTTCTAGAGACGCTATTCTGCATCTTTGAAATGAAGACAGATAAACCAAGAAATCTCGAAGAGAATTAAAGCTCATCGAACACCGCATACTATGAACCTAGTGTATATAATAGTCAGTCGACTTTACAAACTTTACTCTTCTATTTTCTTCGTTTCTAAATAAAATATTCACGTGGTGACATTCTATATATATTTTCCTAAAGCATGATATAGACGAAAAACAACCTGGTTACCACGTCTATGTAATCCAGGTCAGATTGTTGTCGCGTGGTTTAACAGTGGCATAAGTTGCATATTCACATCATTTACGTTCAACTGTAGTATACGAAACACTAAACAATTTAAAAAACACGCCTGGTCATGTCAATGTCATATAGTTCGAGTCAATGTTGTTCACTGCAAGTAATGTTTGTTAGTAAGTTTTAAAATTGTGATATTTATAAGAAGAAAGTGTAGAGTTTTACTCGTATGCATGTTAATGGTGTACAATGTAAATATGATTAGATTTGTCTGATCGAATCATTTATTCATGACACTGACATGATTGGACTTGTTTTTGATCCTGCTATATATTTTTTGTTTGTTTTGTTTTTTCTTACGACTTAAACTTGTGTAAATTTTACTTCGTTTGTATATTTGTTCGATGAAGAAGTGACTAACACTAAACAACAAAATATCCTGTATCCAAGAATCAGTTTCTAGCAGACAGTCAAACACATTTCAACGTTGAGTGCGACCAAACAAGACCTTATTATCAATAATTCAACATCATACAACAAAAAAGATGGAATACTAAAGGGAAATCTTAACCAACGTCAACTACTCAAGGTTCGGTCAAAGAAGACTGGGAAATATCAAAACATGGTTAAGTACGTCGTGGAAAAAAGCTGATAAAGACAAACAAAGGGGAGAGAAGTCAATCAAGAAAATGTGGTACTATTGTTGTGAATGAACACTCAGGTAGAGAAGGCCAATTAATTATTCAATAGCAAATTACAATGTGTCTTTTTAAAATATAAAAAACCATGTATTAAATACTTTTATTTGCACATCATCCATCAATTGCTCTTATAAGTTTCATCGTTCCTATATTCCTGTTGTCATTGCAATTACTCTCTGTTTACATTTTTTATTTTCTTCAATTCGATCTTTTCAATACTGTGCTGCCAAGCATTCCACTACTGATTGATGTTACATACTACTTATATCTGTCATCATAAGTAGCATACATCACGCTATTATCATTTTAGAAGAATTTCCAAAGGTTTGATTATAATACGATCAGTTTGCAACGAAAAGTGATATTCGAAATCTACTGACAGCTAACTTTTGAAATGAGCCATTTAGATCAGTGGAAATTACCAGGTTGTGATCTGAAGGATTATTGAAATCAACGCTTGAAGATACGTGTTATAGTTGGAATGCTGTAACAATTTTCAAGATGATTTCATTATTTATCTTCCCTTAGATCTTGAATTAGAAAGCATTTTAAAATAATTCATTGTAATTGTGTGTACGTAATTATCTATACTATTGCTAATACTGTTGCTGTAGCGAACGAACACTCTAGAAGGGATAACCAATCTATTTTTAATACATAATCACACATTGACTTAGTGAACTGTGAAACTCATACATCAAATACATCAATTGCATATTTTCTTTGAATTGTCTCACATTATTTCTTCATTCCTGTTGTTATCTTGGATGCTTTCAGTTTCCTTCTCTCTCTTCTTCATTACAACTTCTATTTCTCTCGTATGATTCTTGATGATTTCACTTATCTACACAAAATCAGTGTGATAACTTGAAATGATTCATTTATGTATCTGGTTCTATGTTGTTTATGACTGATTTAACTAACTGATAGTCAGTAGAATTATAGGGATGAAGAGAAAATGCGTAATTTTTTACAAACGCATATATATATAGTGTAGTGTAGGTTACTATGTTATGCCCACATAACTTATTTTTGTGTGACTATAAATATCGATTAACGCTTGGCTAAATCAAGTTGGCTTACATGGCTTCTCCACTTCGTGTGTTTTCGCTTCACTCTCTTTTTTCGCTTGGTCCCTCTGATTACCTGCCCAGATCAATGAGTGTACCAAATATATATTGGAAAAATTCAGCCTCGTATTTAACTTATTTAGTTTCGTTATTCATTAATGCAATCTAAGTTAATAATTGTATATGAGGATTGGCGACATACATATCTCAATAGCAATCAGAAACGATGAGACTATAGTCAGATATGGGGCCACTAAAATATGCCAAATAGTCTAACCTCTATTTTTTGAATAGTTTATCACAAATTCTTCAAACAGAATTTACAATAGAAATTCATTTGGTGTTGTTTTACTTGCATCTTCCCATTGTTATTTAGGACTGCAATTGATCGGTCTCATGTTGGCATAGGTGCATCCTGTGCGGACTGCCTCAATATAACCTTAAGTCATAAGCTTTTTAAGCAAAGATGAATAGTGGCTAGCAGTGGAATTTATCATCATTATCATCAGTAACAAGGTTCGACAAGACTATAAGTTATGGACGAACTAATAAGTTATAACATCATAGGTCTTGGATTTGTGTGCGAAATTGAGTCATCCATTTGGCTAAATAGAGTTTTGGCATTTTAGTTGATGTCAGTTCGTGATGAAAATTATAAATCTAATTCCTCACTCTAACTATCAACTCTATGCATTAGCAATGAGTCCTAGAACAGGATTGAAAATCCATTAAATTGTCATTGATCTTCATTAATAAATACTCTAACTGATGTTAATTCATAACAAAGAATAACTTCCAATCAATCATAATATTGTGCACACAAGTGACTATTTCGAATAGGTGGCTCTCTGAGTTCTAGTAAAGCGTAATCAGTGGAGTTCAAAAACGCTGAATGCTTGCCACCTACATACCAATGGCATCGAATGATATCTGTTAAATTCTGAAAATAGAAATGTAGAGTAGTTAAGCGCTCATTGTAAAATCTGAAGTTCATATGTTCGAATATCCAGTTGAGTCGTGAAAGTACATGGTTGAGGAGTTCTACACTTGAATAAATCAATTGTCTAATATTTTCTGCTTTTCATCTTTTGCTTAACTAGCCTTGTTAGAAGTTATTATTATATTAACTGAAGTATGATCCGATGTTTTCGAAACTACTTTTAAATTTCCTTCATACATGAAAACACATTTCAAGACAGAGATTTAGTTCAAAAAATTGTGTTCTCTATTTTACTTGTGACATAGAACTGAAACAATGTAAACTACTTTTACAGACAGAACCCAGTAATTTGGTGATTAAGCTCTCGGCAGTATAGAAATTATAGAGGAATTATGTTAAATTTTACTAAGGTCAGGAACTGAATCATGCTTTCGAACTTTCAGTGTAGGCTTAACATAGATCGGTTAGTGGTTTGAACAATATTCTTGATATAACATTCAGTAACGTTATGTAACTAATTATTCATCTCATAACAAATAGATCTTGGAGATGATTACGCACTAACTTAATAGTTCTGTGGAAATATCTTTTACTGAAAAAGATTTCATATGATCAACTTTAAAAGATGTTCAGAGATTTAGATCAACAGAAGTGGTGGTAAAACGTATTGAACGTTAGTAGTATCACATATATACTATGATGATTAAGAAGTCGAAATAATATTGTGATTTCTTCTTCACTTTACATACAATCAATCGACTCATCTTCATCTTATCACATTTTTCCATTATGTGTTTTAATATGTGTTCAATCATCAGGGATCTCATTTACTTTGATCTTCTCTCCAATTATACAATTTAACATGATCATGGTGATTACAAATATATTATAGTGTTTGTGCATTAAACTTAACAACTAGCATTGGTTACAGTACCCGCATTTAATAATTATCAATTTGATCGTAAATCATTTGTCTTCCATCACTATAGACTGTAATATAAACATGAACTAATTTCATTATGATGACTTTTAATTCACAATAATTGATTACAGAATTCTGTGGTGAGCTTAATCAGTGATGAGAAGAGATTGGTTGTGCATCACAAAAGAAAATGGTGTGTGTGTGTGTGTTGCAAATGTGATTGGATAAGTCAGTTTATTCACACAGATCAGGTGCTCAAGAAAATTTACTGTTTTGTATATGACTTGAGATGTGGGTTAGTAGTTAGATACTGAGTAGGACATGATTCTATGCAACAATCATCATATGAATGAGTTAATTCATACACTTCTGTTGTTCAGCCGATAGATGTTTAAATGAATTGCATATAAGTTATGATCAAAGTAGTTAGACGAGAGGATCGGATCAGTGTTTTATCGTGTCACCATGTAAATCAATATTCACTTTCTGAGGAAATGTCATAGTAATCATCCTAACACTTCAATATCAAAAGAGAACTTGGTATCAAAACATTACAAAATGGCATAGATGAATTTCTGTTCGATGAACGATTATCGAAGTGGAAGTTGATTAGAGCTTAGTCTCTTTAAATTAGAATACATTCAATGTTAACGTTTTCTAGTCGAATGACACTTATATATGAAAATCTATTTGTAATGCTTACTAGTCAATTTCTGTTAAAATATTTTATGACCTTCAATGTCCACCTTCGATCGATTGATTGATTGATTGATTAAGCAGTTATGACACGTGATAATTGTAACTCCTCATATTCTATTCATCATTGATTTCAGAGAAATATGTCTTGATTTGAATAAAAGAATGCCAACTGTGAAATATCACTATCAGTTAGATAACTATTGGTGGAGTATCTCTAACAACTGAATAACAATTGTTATAGGATTTGACTGTGTCACTATTAGACATGATCGCTCGAGTACTTTGGATTATCTGAGCAGGAAAGTGTCTGGTTCGAACATCATATGTTCATAGTTCGAGTAGCACAATCCATTATTCATTATTATCAGAAGTGAATATGGAAAATTGCATGGATAAATGTTCTGTTTGGAGTGAGAAACCAATTGTATAGTTATCTCCCTACCACTTACATTTACGCATCATGTACACATATTCATTGAATAACTACGAGTGACATGAGTTTGTCACAGGAAATAAGACCACAAAATTTCTACAATGTTATGAAAACTTGAAAACAAAATTAACCTGGTTCTACACAATATTCCTCATAAGAATAAACATCAGCCGTTTCGCTATCTCAATATGGATGGAACTAATTATTTATTGTGGGACATACAAATCTGTAAGGAGACCGATCTGAAACCAAGTTGCATCCGGTCAACAAACAACATTGGAAACGGACATTGGAAACTGTGTGTCAACTTACCAGTCAGTTTCATTTGCTTCAAACTAGATCTGTTCGATGTGGATGGTGGACTGGGAGACACTTGTTTCTCAGAATATGGAATGTTTTCCCATTCTCCAACACCATTCACACTCTTTGAACATGGAATATTGGAAGACGAATAACTTGATAATTTGTATGGAAGTTGAGAAGAACGACAAGTCGAATCAACACAAACACTGCATTTCGCGTGTCCGTCGATATGTGAGTTGTGTATGTGGTCAATATGTTTCCCTTCACTTTTACTCCGTATATGTTCAGCATGCAAATACTTGGAAGCTCTACCAGATGACATTGTGCAGTTTGGTGAATTCGTACTTCGAGTACGGCACACACGAAATGAAGTTGTAACTGGTTGGATGACTGGTACTGGAGATGATATGTGATGATATACTTGTGACCTGTGCAGTGTGAACGAAGTAGATGAATAGTATTTATTTTCGGTGAATTGGTATTTTGATGATTTTGTAGTGCATTTGTGTGGTGTATTCGGTGGTACTGGATATTCCTGTTGATGCGATCGAAGCAGATAACTATCTGAATGATATTTGTTGTTCAAATAAAATGTGGGGACATAATTGAGTGTGGTGTCCAACTGTTCCCAATGCCATAATTGTTTATGTCGTGTGTGTTGATGTTTGTGATGTTGATAATGATGATGATGATGATGATGATGATGATGATGATGATGATGACATTGTCGACTTTTCCGAGCACTTTCATTGATATTACAACTGATCGGACCAACAACAGGTTTCATTTGATTCAAATAAAAATCATAATTTTGACAAAACATTTCAAGACTTTTTTGACATGGTAAGTTGAAAGGAATGGATCACTGTTGGTACACTGGATAAGATTCAAGAACGGAGGAACAAGAAGGAAGCAATAAATACCAGTCGAACAAGAGCAGAAAAAGCCAAGGCACAAGCTGAATACACAGAAGTGAACAAGCAAGTGAAGAGAGGCATCAGAACTGACAAACGTAAATATGTGGAATATTTAACAATGGCGGCGGAAAAGGCTGCAAGAGAAGGAAACATGAGAGGACTGTATGACATAACAAAGAAACTCTCTGGGAATCACCGTAAACCAGAACGACCAGTGAAATGCAAGGAAGGCGAGGTAATCACTAAAATTGAAGAACAGCAAAACAGGTGTGTAGAACACTTCAAAGAACTCTTGAATCGAACAGCTCCACTGAACCCACCCAACATTAAAACAACACACACGGACCTCCTAATCGGTGTTGGCCCACCAACAATTGGAGAAATCAACATGACGGTCAGACAAATCAAGAGTGGCAGAGCAGCAGGACCGGACAACATTCCAACGGAGGCACTGAAAGCAGACGTTGCGGTAACTTCATTGAGACACCATATTCTATTCAATAAGATTTGGGATGAGGAACAAGTACTAACAGACTGGAAAGAAGGACTCCTGATCAAAATACCGAAGAAAGGCGATCTCAGCAACTGTGATAACTACAGGGGCATCACTCTTCTCTCAATACCGGGAAAAGTCTTCAACAGGGTATTGTTAAACAGGATGAAGGACTGCGTAGACGCCCAACTTCGTGACCAGCAGGCAGGATTCCGTAAGGATAGATCGTGTACAGACCAAATCGCAACTCTACGGATCATTGTGGAACAATCAATTTAATGGAATTCATCACTCTACATCAACTTCATTGACTACGAAAAGGCATTTGATAGCGTGGACAGAACAACACAATGGAAACTTCTTCGACACTACGGCGTGCCTCAGAAGATATTCAATATCATACAGAGTTCATATGATGGATTACACTGCAAAATCTTGCATGGAGGACAGTTGACATAGTCGTTCGAAGTGAAGACTGGTGTTAGGCAAGGTTGCTTACTCTCACCCTTTCTCTTTCTCCTGGTGATCGACTGGATCATGAAGACGTCAACATCTGAAGGGAAACATGGGATACAATGGATATCTAGGATGCAGTTGGACGATCTAAACTTCGCAGATGATCTGGTCCTCCTACCGCACACGCAACAACAAATGCAGGAGAAGACGACCAGTGTAGCAGCAGCTTCAGAAGCAGGAGGGCTCAGCATACACAAAGGGAAAGGCAAGATCCTCTGATACAACACAGCATGCACCAATCCAATCACAATTGACGGAGAAGATTTGGAAGACATAAAAACCTTTACATATCTGGGCAGCATTATTGATGAACACGGTGGATCTGATGAAGATGTGAAGGCGGGGATCAACAAACCAAGAGCAGCATATTTACAACTGAAGAACATCTGGAACTCAAAGCAGCTGTCAACCAAGACCAAGGTCAGAATTTTCAATACAAATGTCAAAACAGCTTTATTGTATAGGGCGGAAACCTGGAGAACTACGAAAGCCATCATCTAGAAGATACAGGTGTTTATTAACAGTTGTCTACGCAAAATACTTCGGATCCGTTGGCCGGACACTATTAGCAACAACGTACTGTGGGAGAGAACAAGCCAGATCCCAGTGGAGGAAGAAATAAGGAAGAAGCGCTGGAAGTGGGTAGGACATACATTGAGAAAAGCACCCAACTGTGTCACAAGACAAGCAGCGCTCACATGGAATTCTCAAGGCCAAAGGAAAAGAGGAAGATCAAAGAACACATTACGCTGGGAAATGGAGATAGACATGAGAAAAATGAACAAAAATTGAATAGAACTGGAAAAGAAGATCCGGGATAGAGTGGGTTGGAGAATGCTGATCGGTGGCCTATGATCCATTAGGAGTAACAAGCGTAAGTAAGTAAAATTAAGTAAGTTGAAAGTTTGTTGACACTGTTCATTGATACCTGATTTCATTTGAATCGTGTTATTATTTTTGTTATTATTGTTATTATTTCAATTATATGAATGATTCCATAATTTATTTTGTAATGATTAAAACAAACATCTTACTGGTGTAATTGGAATCATCTCGTGTTGCATCACTGAATAATGTAAGTTAACTAGTTAAAAATTCACTGATGATTATCAGTTGTTGTGAACCTAAATGAATTTTCCTAATCTTATTTTAAAATGCTTACTATGGTTTGATTGGTCATTGTTTTAATGATTTGAATTGAGCAATATTTAACTAATGAACTTGTAACAGTATAAAAACTCATTACATGTGACGTTACTAAGGTGAGTTTTTTTAATTTTATTGTAGGACAGTAAAAAGTAAACGTACTGGAAGAAGAGGAACAAGCCCTACGTAAGCATAACCTGCAGTTCCCCTTTTTTTGTACTCGAACCGTGTCTTTCTATTTTTAATATATATGTTGTGCCAGTACTCCGCATTCTTAGTTTAGAGGCATTTACCGATCCTGACTGTTGTGTTGTTGTTTCAGATCGTTCCTGTTTCCGAGTGAACGCTAATATAACGTGCTACTAAACGACCTATATATATACAAACACACGTGATCATAAATTGTAGACAAATACATGTCCAATAATTGAGTAAAAGCAACAATGTAAAACAGTATTCTTAGTTGTAGTTTTTTTTTGTTTGGTGATTGGTTTGACAAAATCTGTCGTACATAAAAATATGATTATGATTAGGAAGTGAAAATTCAATTTTTTTTCTTCTGGCGTTTGTTTTTCTTTGTTCATCATGTTGAATTAGACATGGGGGAGATATAGAGGGATGAATGTTGTTCCGTTTTAAAGATTATTTGTTTACTTGTCTAACAATATATGTCAGTGTATATACCGACCTATTTACCAAACAAAAAATGACTGATTTGTGTCTTAGAGTTGGATGAATATATTAATATTCATAAGTAGACAATTGTATAATGTAAATTATGTGTATCATGTTTCAGAGTGACTGTAGTCAGACAATTAGTTAAAAAAGAAAAAAAAAGAGAACTCTATTATGATGAACACTTCAGAAATGTTTTTCCATAAGATCGGAGACAGGATATTCAAATCTCGTGGTGAGTTTTTAAACTTTAAACCATTGAATAAGTATGCCATAATTTTCATTCGTAACATCGAATACTTCACAATGTCTTCCAGTACCATTGTTGATTATTATTAATAACAATTATATATATACATTCTGGAAACAATAATTACAGAATTCACGCCAGTTTACAGGCATGATCAATTTGATATAAATAGTAACATTAGATGTACAAAACAAACATGTGATATAAAATAGTTTTAAGTATACTAGTTCAGTAATTGTTTAGGTAGTACATGTATTACATCAACAACACAGTGCATCAGCTGGGAACTTTTAATTCTTCTTAAATCGACAGCCTATTGATTTATGAACGGAGGGATTAAGGTCATTTCCTGTACCAGATCGAATGAATGATAATTATCTACAACTAGAGAAATTAAAACGAAAACAGACACCACGGAACAATAAAGCAATAATTACCAAAATATATCAATCAGGTCTACAAAAATATATGTGTCATGTGACACAGTGATATACTGTTGATGTTAGATATTGTTCAAATTAGTTAAGGTTGCCAGGGACAGTGTTAACATAGTGACAGCAGGTAAGTGGTTTTACTTTGAGAGAATTCACTAGTCACAATTTCGCACTAGAATCCCAGGAAACACCTGTTAAAATTAATAAGCTTTTCGTTATTTTACTCAGTTACACATATATTTTATAATAAGATTTTAAAAAAGTATTCCCTTTGAAATGCAATTACTAGAAATATACTTAATTCATTACTGTCTTATTGTTTACTATCTACCTGAAAGTCAAGATATTCAGTTCATTATTCTTTCAATGCTTTCAAACTACTGGTAAGTTTATTTTGAATTAGAAAAGCTTCATGTTTTATGACGAACTGATAGAAATAAGTATAAGTTATTGGGAAGATCTAGAAAACTCTTCAAAAAAAAGGCTCTAAAAACGCTGGAAAACATCTTATCCAATCAACATTAAATAGAAGTTTTGCCAGAAACATTTAGAAACTGAAAAGTCACATGTTACATTTCTATTTGAATGATTACTTATTCTACTACTAGGTTTAGTAGCGTTCCAGAAATTTCCGGAAGCTTAAGTTCATCTAAAATACTCCAGATTTTCTGTACATAAACGAAATTTGAAGTAAAACGTTTCTTCCATATTTCATGCCTTTTTCTCTCGTATTCAAGTTGTTGTATAGATTTAGGCTAGAGGTTATCAGAGAGCTTAAAGAACTGAATCAACTATTCAGTTAGAAAATTTATCCAAGTGAACTGACAACTTATTAATCCTCCAAGATGTAATTGATTTTAATAATGAAATCAATAATTTTGAAGCTAATCTTATAATTGAAATTACAGATCAAATTATGTTGAATTATGCCAATATAAACTTAAGTTTATCATTAATTACTACAACATTCAGTTGTTTCTTGATCAAATCTTAATGTTAAATTATATTGAATATATTCTGATGTCGGCTCAAGATAGGGCCAACCACTACAGGTTAATGTTAATCTATATATTGAAACAAATATGTAATATGGAAAAACTTTTAAAAATATCCGTTTCTCTCAACATCATTAAACTTAATCCAACTGATAGATCCTGGGCTCAAATTTTGCATCGTGAATGTACACTGCTTAGGAGTCCCATACTAAAACGAAACGGCCGTTTACTGCTTCTAGGTTTTCCATGATAGTCTAGCTTCAGTTGACACAAATGAATCCAACTATCCACAAAAACACTTATCTGATTGTATTTACTTGGTGTTGTTTTACTTGCATCTTCCCATTGTTATTTAGGACTGCAATTAATCAGTCTCATGTTGACATATGTTCATCCT